AGCTTCATGCGCTAGACATTGTTACTGTTGATTTCAACTTACTGAAACCATGGTGGTTTGAGAAGGGTCTAAACTATTGACCCACCGAGCCGTTCAAGAAAGTGGAGGTGGTCTGGTTGTAGTCATCTAGAAGTTGTGCAACAATATTTCACGACTGATAGTAATTATCACTCAAAATCCACCGACATTTTCAACAACGTATTACCTTTCACTTATTTGTACTCTCTCCAATCATGTCTTTCTTGTTCATTTAATAATATACCATTTCTATACAGTTTTTCCTTTAACATTAGTTATGGAATGCTGCAATTTGAACTGTTTTACTTCAGTGATAGTTGTGAGTTTTGTTTGGTTTATTGTTCATGAGTTGGATAGATGAGGATGTGCTCAAATGAGTATAATTTTGGTGTATTCTACTGTTGTGAGTATTATTTGTTTAGAGGGAGCCAGGATGAATGTAGACGGTGATATTTCACAGTGTTTTAGCTAGGTGACCGCAGTGTGAAATGATGGATGAAATGTGGTCATTAGTGAGGTGAGATGGTGGGATGTAATGGATTGTTGTCGAGTGACTAATCGATGTGTGTAATTTAGTTCTTCAGGAAGTTAATGGTGGTTGGTAGAGGTTAGTGGTAATGTGTGTGAGTGGAGGAGTGTATGAGGCTTGTTTGAATGTCAGACGGGACACTAATTGCATTGAGTTTTCAGACATGATTTTCTGAGGAGTGGTAAGAAGCGTGAAACCTATTTCTAGGTATTCCTACTAGTTGCCGAACACGAACTAATATCTATCAAAGTGTACTTTTTGATGATGAGTCTTGTAACTTAGTGGTCATTTTGCAAAACGATTGATAAAATACTATCAGTACCCATGACTGGAGACACCTTAAAGTTATATACACTTAAGCAGTTGATCAATGCCTCCTGAGCATATTCACATCAAGTGTTGAGTAATACTGGAATCTCTATGTCTGTTTTATTTTCGTACCTGTTTACCATATGATTGTTATTTTGCTCTAAACTTAGTGTCATTGATTTCATGTTTATTAACCTGTACTAATTTCATGGTATACTGTTTTACCTTCTTATATACTTCACTCATCTGCATAATGACGGCTACTCCCGGTATTTATGAACTCACCCCTTATATTAAAGTTGATTTATATTAGCTTACTTTTTCGTACTTCTGTTATGGTCATCTGAAAGAAAGAAAAAACAATAACCGACAAACAAGTTGAATCATGATTCCAGTAGATTCTCGCATGTATATGTGGGTATTGACTATGCTTTTCTGTTCTATTCAATTTTCTTTTCTTCGTCTTGTCTACAGTCATCTAGATAAATGTACTCACTTTCTGCTAATATTTTGGTATTTATTTTCATTGAATTCACTCAAAGGTTTATTTCAGGTTTACAGATGGATACTTTTCACGCTACTGTTCATCTTCATTTTATTTTTAATATGTGTTGATGCATGCTACAATTCTGTTCATGGTGTAGATATCTACTTGTGTGAATGTGTTTCCATGTTCGCTTTGTTCGACCGTTTTCTTATTGCCTACATCCACTAGGCAATAGAAAAATTCACAACTGAATAGTATTTACCTGATCGTTTTATGAGACGAGTACATGGGTTTATCAATGTTTTACTGAGAAGAATGTAGAATGAACTTAAAAACAGTTTTAGCAGTGATGTATTTCATCTGGTGTTAATCATCAATCTTTCAGCCAAAAAGTCACACTTTCAAAACTCACTCTCCACTTGCGGTGACGTTTTAGACAAACAGAATTTTTCGAGTAGCTAAAATAAGTTGATTGTTAGTATATCTAGTGAATATTTTTGGCAGGTAATCATAACTATTAATGTATAACCCCGTGTTATTTAGTAATTTAGTTGGATATTACACGTGTTGACGTTTTGACCAAAATTTATCCTACCTTTCATATGAATATGAACGACAAATACCGTTCAAAACGTTGTCCAGTAAGTAATCCTATTTCACAGTATGAAAATTTCCAACAAACAAACATAGAATTGTACACAACGTTGTTCCCATTCGATGTTTGACTCAATCCATCCGTCCAAATCAACACGGGACCAGGCATTACTGCGTAACGGTCAGAGTCGCCACAACTCATATCACTACATGAATTAAAAAAAAACAGTGAAGTGGAAGATGAAGAAAAGAGAATTCAGTCAAAAGAAATATAAAGTAGGAAAAGAGAGAAAAGAAGAATGAGAGATTCAGTATAGCGTCGTTAAGATGAGGATAATGTGTGTATACATCTGCGCCAGTGACTTCGGTTCTGAGCCATGCCATCACCTAAAGTCTCCAACCACTGGTTCCTTTTGTCCCGCGGACCCCAACCACCTAGTCTACATCGCCGTGGATGAATCAAACCAACAGTCAGAGACTTCATAGATTGATGCTATGTTTTAGTCCGGCCACCTCAGGCATTTTCCCAGCATGGACCTACTTCGACCAACATTATGTGACGAGGCGGACAACGACTAGGTCTACATAACATATGTCGGAGGCAATCATCTCAGTCGATGAAGGTTCACAAAGGTGTGTCAACTAACTTACCTCTTCTCCCTAAAACTCTACAGTTGACTTCTGTGTTACTCAGGTGGTGACACTATGGGATACGGCGTATACTACGAAGGCGACGGTGGTCAAACACCTGAAGCCAGCCTGTTCATGTCTTCCACCGTCAATGGGCATGTTTCACAGACATTGAGTAGAACAGAGCGGACTTGTGTGCAGTACACGCGACCGTTGACAGACAGTCGGATATGAAGGTGGGGCCACAGGTGGCGTAAGTTGGCGAAAGCCAACCGAGCCTTTTGTATCCGTGCAGAGATTTCATCGACCGCTGAGGCGGCTACCAGGTCTGATCCTTCTTTCCAGGTAGGTGAGGTGGTCGACACTCTGTATTGTTATCCGCGAGACCGTTGAAGACGAATTGTGGAGCAAGAATTTGGATTTGGGTGGTGAGAAACGCATGCCGTACATTGTGAAATTGCCACTCAAAGTGTTCAGAAGACTCTGCATGTTGTCAGCGTCTTCACCTAACAGGAAGGACTATGTCATTTTGATATTCTAGGTTTAACGAGAATTCCCCTGATATTAGGTCAACGTGTGTGTAATCAGGTGACGGGGAGGTGGGGGGTGGGGGTGGGGGGTGGAGACCTCCTTTAGAATGTCTGTTTTAAAATTGAATAAGAATGGAGATAGTGGTCACCCTTGACGGAGACCAGTGTTGTATGAGCATAGGTGGCTTGACACCTGACGATAGGCTGTAAGACGCCGACGAGTGTTTGAGTAGAGAGCCTTTAATAAAGTGATGTAGTTACTCGGTATACGTTCCAGTGAGACTTCTCGACGAAGAGAGTAGTCGTACGCTGCCTGCCTTTGGATTGAGGACTACAGCTGTTGTCGGTGGTTGGTAAGTGTGTAAGTGTTCCGGAAGCTGGCATAGTGTGAATATTTGGTCGATAGACCTGTGTCCGGTTGTAGAGGCTGCCTGCCTGGTTTTCTCGGGCTTACTGTTTCCTAGGTCCACTCAGATGTCGAAGAATTGTAGAACGTATGATTTTAGACACTATGTTTGTGAGGCTGATTCTTCAGTGTTTATGAGAAGAGGACTTCTGGCCTTTGTTGAAGACTGGGATAATCAATGATTGGGAGCTGTGGGAGAGGATCGTATTTGAAATGCATATAGTAGTTAACACTAGCGTTAACCTGACTAGAGGGACTCTGCGACCATCGTTGTATAGCTGAAGAGTTAGTTTGTGTGGTGTTGCCTCCCTTCTTTGTTTGAAGTTACCTGCTGCTTTCTCGACTTGTGGAAGTGTTTGGGGGTTTGTCTGAATGTTTCATTCAGTATTCGATTGGATAGCGGGTAACACAATGGTGACTGGAGGTGAGTTAAACTGTCCCTCGAAGTGTTCTCATGGTTCCTGTCATCTCGTCTGCGATTGAATCGCAGACACGTTCTTGTCTGCTATATTCTCACTAACCGTTTTTGATTTTTTCGCTTCAGTTTCCTTTATGAGTCTCAATAACTGTCTACTGTTACCTATCACTCACTCACTCGATGTATTAAGCAAATTCTTTGGATCTGTTCAACTAGCGTCAGACTACTTACATCGTTGTTTGGTATGGAGTAATCTGTTCATTGGTCTCTTTACTTAAAATGGATTTGAGTTATCTATTTGTTTTCTCTTTTTTTAAATTTTATGCTGAGTGACGAATTGAACTAAAAGATCTTCCTTAATGGGAAAGTTTATCTTTACTCATCAAAATAACAGATTCTGTGAACGGTAGAAACTGGTAACTCCTTATGTTTCTTCACATTCTTGACTGTTTGTCAGCTGAATGTATCAGTTCGGTTCTTGAGATTTCTCGAGAGGACCATTTTAATCAAGGAAACCTATTGATCTCCTCTGTATTTTGATTTTTTTTCGTCTAGCCTATTAGCTCATTTCTTTGGATGCCATTGGTACAATAGTTTCGGAATTCAGTTATTTGCAATATGATTTCCACTTGATAACTTTGAACACCTTAGCTTACTGCAGGACCGATTCAAGTTGCTGAACTGTAACATGTTCTGCTGAAGGCGTCTAGATGTGATCATGCTAGGAAACAAATACACTTGATGATGAAAAGTCCCAAACTAGAAATAGAACTGGTACCCAATACTCTGTTGTTTTCCAAGTCTTTTCTGTGATATCAGTCCAAAGTAACAGCTATGTAGCTCTTCAATACCGTTTAGCTTTTCATTCCTTCTTCACTTTTATACTGTTTATTCACAACTCTATGACTTTCAAATTTTAGCGGTTTAAATCCTGTTGCAACTCAGATTTTTTATTTCATCTGCGCTCATCATCACCTAGGATCCATATGAGCCTGTCAAACCACGGCTATCTCATATAATCACTCTGATAAAATGTATTTACTGTCTGCCTAATTAATTATTGACTTTTTTCCTTTCAGCCCGTCACCACCCGTTTTTATCGATGTGGCTAAAACCGCAATCGATACTCCTGGTACATCTAGTGAGAATAGAAATTCACAAGTCTCTGATATACTACAATTATCTGGTCAGTCAATTAATGGAATCGCTTCTGATTCACCAGATGGATTATTTAGTTTCGATAGAAGCAGTTCACTTTTACTATCCTCCGATTCTCCTCCTCCACCTCCTTTACCACCGAAAAAGTCACACCTACAAAAACTATTCAGTAAACTTGAAGATCCATACGAGGTGCCAAAACAGGTTGTTTTACCATCCTCACTAGTGACCCCTACCGATGCACCAGGCATCGGCACCATCGCCGCATCATCGACAACCACTCCTATACGTTCGAAGTCGTCAGTCACATCAACCAATGAGCCGTTATTTCGGAGGAAAGAATTCAGTCGATTGTCATTATCACCACAGCTAGGTATGAGTCTATGTGTATATGCTTGTTTGTATTCAATTATAAAAATGTTCTTGGATAATTACATGTTGGTTCATATTGTTACACTTCACCTCAGGATAGAGAAGTGAAACCAAGAAGACGGAAAGCAGTGAATTCAATACAGCGATATGAGCGGTTATAAAGAGTTGAGGTCAACAGTAAAATGGTATAGTGAAACATAAAATATCGTTTAGTTGTTATATAGCTTGTAAATCTCTCTCATTGATTGGACTGAATCGATTCGAATGCCCCGATGTTTTCAGTTTTGATATTAATGATAGAATCCAGGTCACTGAGTCATGATAGCCGTTCCTCGTTCGCTTGGTATAATTAATATAGCAGCTGTTGAGACCCAAATAGGACGAAACTTGCGTCCTGGATTCTACTGATAGCCGCTTTCCACCCAATAATATCCAGTGCTCGCTGGTTTCCAGTGTTTCTCCAACTGATATCAGTCAATGATGAATACCAACCTGAAATAATATCGCAATAATATTGTCAGGGTTAATAAGAAGATATGGTATAAATGTATCTGCATTGCTATCATCGATTGTGATTCACACCGTCTAAATTTGTCAGTCATCAAATTGGCTTACCTTTTGGAGCCTTATACAAAAGTCTACAGTTTTTTCACATGACTGTCGTCAGTCACTTGATTGATTAATATCATGTCCAGTCAGCTTGGAGTGTTCTATTTTGCTTCCAGTATAATCATACTCCAGTCAGCGCAGTGCATATACGTGGATGATTGTTTAGCATGCATTTTACATGTCACACCTCACATAACTGCGTTGATTATCCTTCAACTAACTGCAGAATATTTCATTCTCTTATTTTGCCAGATGCAGATAGTAGTACGAATGCAATAGTGATCGAGTCCCTGAGACCCTTATGCGTCCTTCAACTTCATTGGTCATGTTTTACAGCCGTTTTATAGGACGGTGTAATATTAACCCATAAATTGGTGACTAGTGATAATTTTTATAGAGCGTTTGGATGTAATTTTTAGCTTAATGTCTTTTCTTAACATGTTCGACAAGAGACACGCTGTAGTTCTCCTGCTGATTTACTTTGAATGTGAGATATACAGGTCACTTGAGTAATTCATCCCGGTCTTGTTGTATTAAATCTTATTAGTTCACTCCTTTTTACTCGTTTAAAGTGACTTCTTATTTCGAAGACTATACTCATGACATTTAGTAGTAAAGACTAATTTACTGTAAAACAGACAGAAAATATCAGTACAGAAGGCTGGCATTACTAGGCAACGGTTCAAGTTGCCGGATCTCATATCACCACATGAGGTTAGAATACACCAAGATGAGATATGATGAAATAAAGAGGAAAACAGTCAAACGAAGTAGAAAGTTATCAAAAAGGGCAAAAAAGAATGGTGGAATATTGAAGTCCAGATGATGCGTGGATACGTCTGCGGTAGTGAGATTGGTTCTGAATCATGTCTCTCACAGTCTTCGACCATTGGTTTTTATTTTCATATGGATCCCAGCCGGGAAGTTGACATTCTCTACACGGCTTAGGCCAAGAGTCAAAGACTTGATGAACTGATGCCATGTTTTAATTATGCCATCTATAACCTTTTCCAGCCTAAATCTTCAGCTGACATTGTGGGACGAGTCAAACGGTGACTAGACCATGTGTGGGACATATTGTCCCATCCATCCAAATGGAAGTGGTTCACGACCTCACCAACTGAGTTTCCTCCTCTGCCCAAAAACTCTATGTCTGACGTTCGCATTACTGATGTGGAGACGCCATATGATGATGCCTATTCTACGAAGGGAACAGTAGTCAAACACTTGAATCCTTCTCATATCTTCTACCTTTAACGACCCTGTTTGAAAGACATATAGTAGAACAGAACAAACTACAGGACAGTATATTCGGCCCTTAATAGGTAATCGTATGTCACTATGGTACCGTAGATGATGAAAGTTAGTGAAAGCCAGTGGAGCCTTTTATATTCATTAACTTAATGTATTACAGTTATTTTATAGGTCCTACAACAAGCAGTCCAATTTTTTGCGTGATGCAGGAAGCTATTCCCATATGTATTTCAAAAACGACTAGAATGATGCTAGACATCGAATTGCTCGAGGATGTTCATATGATCGTTGTGATCTGATTGAATCTTGAGATCATAGTTCTGTGAATTAGTTTATTCTTGGGGTCGATGTGTGTGTACTGTTAAATGTAGAGGGTGTGTGGGCATACTTTATACCCATCTCTTACATGGATGGTATTATTGCAGTACATCGTTATATGTGTACAAATTCATTTCCCATTTTAGCTTACTGAATCCGATGATGTCAAAAGTGTGATGTAAATCATCTCTTGGATTGCGTTTCCGCCTACTTCGTCGCGCAATGTTGGCTGAAGCATGTTCAGGTTGGAAGTAGGCTCGGAACGACTAGACTGGAACACGGTATCACTGCGTGAGGTCCTTGACTAAGCCATTTTATGAGATGCAGACTAGCCACTTGGGGTCTGTGTGATAACAGAAACCCGTAGTTGAAGACTATAGGTGATATGGCTCAGAGTCGATGTCAATGGCGCACATGTATCTACACTTTGGATTTGAGAGGTTGTAGGGATTTAGAGATTTTTCAAGTTGGTATTCATCATGGATTGATATCAGTTGGAGGAACATTGAAAAACTGGGAGCACTGGAGGGCTGTTTCGTCCTAGCATGAATGCGCACTGCTGAAGAGCCCTATACTAGGACGAAACTGGTGTCCAATGCTCCTAGGTTTCCAATGTTCCTCCAACCGATGTGAGTCGATGATGAATACCAACTTGAAAATATCTACACTTTATTTTCATCTGAACCGCCGCACTGAATTCGAAATTTTCTCATTCCTCCTTCCTCTCTTTACTACTTTCTCATTATTTTGACTGATTCTTCCTTATTTCCTTTTTAATCTTTCATCTTATTGCTTTAATGTTTGTGATATGAGGTGTAGTAACTTGGACCGTTCCGCCGAAATATCTGGTCTCTTGTTGATATCTATCATGATGATGATGATGATGGTGATTAAGTGTTTTCTGTTTCCAGTCGAATAGATCGAGAAAAGAATATTTTTGTGATAATTCATTTATTTGTTCTTTTGATAAGCACAACCAGTGGTGTTATTATGTAAATTCGATTGATTATCAGGATTTTTGTTTTATCTCTATAGATTGTGTTCAGTCACCTTAGTTACTTTTTTTGTAAACAAGACAAGAAAGTGAATAAATGTTGTTCAGGAAGTGATATTGTATCATTATGTGTTGTGTGTATGGTATGAAATTACAACGTCAGTTTTATCTAACCCGTCTCTTATTCGTGTAAGATTGATAGTAAATGGCTTCAGTGGGTTTTTTGGACACAAAGCACTATCAGCCGATTGTGTTTTATCATGGAAAACCTTTGAGTTTAATAGGAAAATTACTCACTTACACTTAAATCGGTCCTCTTTGTCATTGACAATCAAATATTTAAGGCCTTATTATTTGACCTGTCGTAGATGTGTGTTCATTCTTCACGTATGTAGTAGGGGTCAATTTATTATCTTTTCATATCTATTGTAATATCTCGTTAATATGCGGTCACCATTGTTACCTTTTTTAATATTGTTTATAAGTTGCTAGTCATCCGTCAACAGTGATAACTGTTGTCAGTTATATGCTTTCATTTCAATGAGTTGCCTTGAATAAATCATGCTTCTGGCTCAGTGGTTTAAACACTGACTCAGCCGTTACTTTTCGTGTTAGCAGCACGTTTTATGTTGTTAGTGTTATTCTGTTAAAACAAAGACAGACAGATGGACAGACAAAGGGTAGTTCTACACCAAACTCTCGTCACACTTTTTTCCAGCTGAACCAATTTTCAGTATTTCAGGGAATTAAAATATTCCATAGCATTTCGTAAACTTATTTGTTTTCTTTAGTAAATAAATGAACTTTTAATTTGTACTGGGTGGTGATTGAAGGTGAGACGAAAGTGTGAACCGCAACCAGATTCGAACCCGTGACCACCGGGTTTCCGACTCGATGCATGTAGCTTAGTTGGTAGAATATCGGGGTGGAAACCCGGTGGTCGCTGTTTCGAAACCTGCCGTGGTTCAAATTTTCATCTCACCTTCAATCATCTAGTATGAATGCTAGTCTGCCAAACTACGGCTATCTTGGATAGTCAAATAATAATGAACTTTTAATTAACTGGAACAGTGAGTTTTTGAAGTACCCGCCATCTTTGATTATTGAACCATCTCACCAAAATAGAATTTCGTTCACATTCGCTTGCTATTCTTGTTTTTAACCTAACTTCATTCTTATTGGTCAATATGCTTGCAGATGATTTGAAAGTTCATCAGTTTACGGAGGTGCTTCTCCCAAGTACTGAAGAGATTTGTCATATTCAGTGTTATTGCTGATAGAGTTTATCCTTCTATTGTTTAGTTTATGAAATTGCAGTTTTTTTTAATCTTTTTGGAAAGAAAGGAACAACTGATCATTTAGACTATAATGAGTTACATACTACCGAATTCCGTAAGTACTTAGCGACACGTCTCCCAGGATTGTCAGACTCTTTTTTATCGGCTATTTAATCGATGGGATTTATGTCATAAAACTCTGTTTGAGATTACGGTTGGTGTTGATGTCGAATCTATGCAAGTAAAATACTGTTAAATCTCTTCAAATTGTTTGTATCAATTTTTTGTCGATTAGTTTGAGTGAATTCCATCCACTATCACGGGGAAAGTATTTGAAGTTACAATGATGAATGTGAATTGTTTACTTTCCTTGTTTTTACCTCTATGTCTTACTAAAGAGGGTGTTTACTGCACGCATTAGTGATGCTTTTTAGCACATCTATAAGCTACTGTTTATTTAAATGTATTGACATAGATATCTGGCTAGTAAATCAAAGTACCTAAATAAGTATGTGAAACAGATAAAAAAGAGACTACAAGTCAACAAGT